CACATGCGCGCACACACACACACACACACACACACACACACACACACACCCATACCTGTGGTGTTTAGGTGAGGTTGCCCACGTACAGTACATCCTAATTCTAAGTGGAGGCATTTGGTTCCCAAGCGCTTTCATTAAAGAGCAAAATCCTGTTAAATCCACACATGTAAGTTTAGAAAAGTACACACTTTTTTTGGAGTCAGGTCAATCAGTCTCACTGAGATGCATTTAAATAATTTTGTGAGTAAATCACGAAGGTATTAAATGTAGGAAAATTTGCTTCAGTCTCTGAATACATCACAACCTTATTTCTCAGAGAGATACATTTGTCTGTAGTCCAGTAAGGTGTGAATGCTGAATACATCTCTATCGATCAGGGCCTTGTCTTTTAAGCTCTGGCATGTGGTCACTGCAGGGCTGACTTAGGAGTTTGGGTAGGGAATTATCTTCTCCAGGGGAAACCCCCAGAAAGGTACAAAAAGAAAGAGAGGAGAAAGCTTGCTGCCATAATGTTTGTTTTTGTTAGATGAAAGATAATCCTCTCTTGGTGGCAACCTGTCCTGACATTGTGGTAATGGCTCTTTGCTGATCTAGCTGTTTAATGAACTAAAGAGAGGCCACCAACTCCCATTAACAACCATCTCCTCTTGAAAGACTACCAGGGGGTGGAGGGAGGGAGGAAAAGAGAGAGAGAGAGAGAGAGAGAGAGAGAGAGAGAAGTGCGTTCAGAGACTTATGTGTATGTGAGTGTTCTTCAAGTAAACATTTCAGAGTTGGGCCAGAATAATTAGGATGTAAATGGCCATCTGGGAATGACATTTCCTTTGTTTACCTTGTATGGAGTTAGTGCCAACTAATGAATCCCTTCATTTGGGATGCCCAAACTTTTCTTCCTTGTGAAAAATTATATATCTCCTAGTTGATGCTTTCCTTGATTTTAGCTGGAGCTGGGCAGTGTGTGGGAAAGATCACCGTGCACCTTGCTTGTCTAAAAACCAAGCCTGGATGGGGTGGGGAGGGGCGGGCGGGAGAGCAGGCATTTCCAACCTCCTTCCACAGGAAAATAAAAAGAGATAAATAAACTCTAATCCTGACCTGGGGGCAAATCCCAATAAAGATCCAGGTTAATTTTTCCTGCCTATCCAACCCTCGAATTCATTGTGAGAATTAGACAGTTCTGCAGCACTAATTTGCCAGATCAGATTGTATAATTATCTTTTATAGGCCTGGGTGTGATGTATGCTCGGTGTTTATGCTGCAGGGGGCTGAGTGTGTGTGTTTGGACTTCAGAGTTTCTTCTCTGTCCTGCCTGACTGTGCTTCTCACACACAGGCAGGGCTGGTAGCTGTTGGAGCTTCTGCCTGGTCCGATGAACTTAGCTAGAGTGGAACAGGAAAGCTTTCGACAGAACCCAGAGTAAAAAGGTGAACCAGTGGGAGGCCATAGGGCTGGGTCTCCTGGCCGGAGTAGGGGTCTCCCAGAAAAAAACAGTGGCAGCAGCGTGGGGGAATTCAATGAGGGGTCTCGGTAAAGGCTGTTTGGAGATTGGAAGGAAGTAGGTCAATGTGGGGCCAAATTGTGATGTTCATGACCTTAAGCACTTTTGTTCTCACAGGCCCCTTCCTCCAGAAAAATATTAAAATTATATTTTATGACAGCAGTGGTATAAGGTGAATAGAACCCAGGCTGGATTCCTTGTTATTGAGGCATTCATGTAAGAGTCATTTTATTTGTCCTGATTTTAAAAGAAATTAGAACATTTTTGTAGGCCCCCTAAAAGTATGGGGGCCCAGAGTCGGCTTTGAGTAGGTTCCTAGAAATGGAACCACCGACTTGGCTTCCTGACAGCTTCTGGGCCTGTTTTGTAGAAGACACTGCCCTCTGATTTGGGGCCCATTGGGAAGGTCCCAGAATTTCCTTACACCACAACCCATATTCTGGCCAGAGACGGGGCTCCAGCTTATAAAGTGTGGAAATCCCATGTCCCAGCCCACGTATTTTTCTTTCCCTGCCTGGCTTTCTCCAGCAGCGTGTGGCCTTCTGTGTCAGCAGGGTTGAGCACGTTCCTGGTGCACTTTCTGGAGGAGGCAGCAGGTTTGTGGGACTGGACATGTTCCAGGCTGATGTCTGCTGTGGCCTCCCCTGCTGGGGATTTTGTTTCTTGGTTCCTCGGTCAGAGGTGTCCAGGAGGAGTGGGCCCTTCTGTCTTGGTTGTAGGTGTCTGTGCTGCCGGTGGTTGGGCAAGGAACCACTAGGTGGTGTATGTCTCAAGGCATCCCTGGGGATGTCAGCAGGGGTGGGGGTGCGGGAGGAAGGGAAGGACCTTTGGGGGCAGGCTGTGGGTAGCCCGTTGCACTCTGTGGTGTCCCTCAAAGGTTTGGTGTCGGGTGTGGCATGCTGCTGTTGGCCTGCTTCCGAGGGAGTGATGTCCACTCCCTGTCCCGTTGTCCACAGAAAGGACAGTAAGGGCAGAGCTTACATGGTGGGGAGCTGTGTGAAGCCACAGCAGGGCTCTGCAGGGCAGATGCCAGAGCCAGTGTGCCACAGACAGGGTTAGGATCTAGGGGCCAGCCAAGCTCCCTGGGAGGCCCTGGTCACCTGTCGATGCAAAATGCCAATGGGAAAGAGACCCCTTCACATTTTAAGGATCAGAGCAGCCAAAACAACCCATTCTGTTGAATGCAGTGATCTTCAGAGGTGCTTTTCAGGCTAGAGGTCCAATAGCTTATTGGATTACAGGAAAAGGGCGGGGGGCAGCTGTCTCTTGGGGTATGAGTAATGTCGCTTACCCGTCTGGCAGTCCAGAAGTCAATTGGGCACATCTCTGGGGCTTGATGGAGAAGTGGTGGTTTCCACCCCAGAGGGGAAAGCCATGGCTGGAGAGAGGCATGGGTCTGTTTGTCTGAGGTCCTTGGAGGCATAAGGAGGGTGCAGGAGGGGCTGCCTCTAAGCCCTTGGTAGTCAGAGTGTGTCCTAAGGACCCCAGCGTTGGATTCACCCAGGAGCATGTTAGAAATGCAGAATCTCAGGCTGCCAACCCAGACCCAAGGGACTCAAATTTTAGCAAGATCTCCTGACGATCCTGCCTCTGCTGCATGTTAGACTGACCTGGGGAGTTTTTTAAAAAAATCCCAGTGCCCAGGCCTCACTCTATCCCAGCCAGAACTTCTGGGGTGAGACCCAGGCTTTAGTATGATTTTACAGTTGCCCAAGGGAGGGGACGGTGCTTTCTGTGAGGAGCCAATTCTGCGAGTCTCGGCTGTAAGGCCCTCACTCCCCTCTTTAGCCCCTCCCCATCACAGGACTTAAAGATCCCCTCCAATGTCCCAGGAGGGGACAGTGTCTGTGCCACTAAATTGGCTGAATTGAAACTTCACAAGGGCCGGTTGAGGAGCTAAGATTTACTCACATGAAAATTCAGATCTCCCCTGGAGGGGTCACGCTGAAACTATTTCCATTCATCTGGGCTTTAGTTTGAATGAGTTTATCGGATACTTTCCACCTAATAATAAACTGAAAATGGGTTGGGTGTGGGGGTGGCTTTGCGTAAAGTAGGAACGGGAATCCATTCCAGATGCCGGGGTTGGAGCTGGGGGAGGCTACTGTGCGGTTTTGTTTGCTCCCTTTTGATGAGTTTTCTTGCATTTGCCAGTTGGCCAGTTAGGTTCCAAGTGTTGCACGGTTCGTCGGTGCTAAAATCATCAAGTTTCTTGCCCTGTAGTCAAGAGCCTGTTGCATTCAAGATTGGTCCTGAGAGAAGTTTATGGGTGTGCAAACAGGAGGCAGGCCCAGCAAACATGTGTCACCGGTATTGGGAGAAGGGGTGCTACAGTGCAGGGGGCCCCCGGATCCGATCCGGTGGCGGGCTCTGGTTGATGGAGTTGGCTGCAGGGTGCCAGTCCAGCCCCGTCCTCAGTAACTCAGACAACACTGGAGCGAGGGTGTGTGATGTGCACCCAGCAAACAAAACACCACCCAAACAATCCTGTCTGTTGTGTGTGAAGGTTACAAGTTTTCAGTTTCAAATCTGATGGTGTTCTTTTTCCCTTTTTTTCTTTCTTCTCTCTGTTTTCATTTGCCAACCTAAGGGTCTAGAGTGATTTCTTTGAGCCTAATGATGGGGAAGCTTAGAATGGGGCTATTATCTTTAAATACCTTTTGAAATACAACTCTTCCTGGTGTCTGAGTTAGATTGAACAGGGGTCAGATTTAAAGATGAAATATCTGTTATAGCAGCAGCAATAACAGCAGCTAGGCTGGTATCTGTGCACATTGGTTCGGGAATTATACGGATAGTCTGAAACAGCCTGACCTTCTAGAAACCCACTAAGGAATGTGTAATTAATAATAGTATAGCTGGTATGTATTGAGTGCTTGATAGGGGCCAGAAATGGACCTGGGTGCTTCTCATGTGTTACCCCATTTAATGAATTCAGACATACAGTAAGGTCGGAACACATAAAAATTCAGAAATACTCTGGCTGAAAGGCCCAACAGAAACACAACTGTTGCCACAACAACTGAGCACCGTGGCGATAGAAGATTTTGTAGTTAAGGTCCATTGTGAATTTGAGTTTTGTTATAACTTGAAAAAAATACTCTCCCATGTAACATCCCTTTACCTCTTAGTTTACTTTAGGTCTAGTTTATTATTGTAATAAACCATATTTCTTTGAAAGTATTCTTCAGTTTGCTGTGCTCACAATTGATATAGGAAATAGATTTCTCCCTTTTTCCTGAATTAATATAGTTTTATTCTATATTGAAGTATAAAAAAATGATTAAACTTCTATGTCCTTGGGGGGCTGTCTGGCATTGAAGGATGACTCCCTCCAGATTTTGAGCTTGGAGTCTTTTATCCTGTATCCTGGTGTAACGCGCCCCTTATTTTTCCAGGTAAAATTGGGGATTTCTGGCTGACTTCGGATGACTCCCTCCAGATTTTGAGCTTGGAGTCTTTTATCCTGTATCCTGGTGTAACGCGCCTCTTATTTTTCCAGGTGAAATTGGGGATTTCTGGCTGACTTCGTGGCTACTTGGAACCATGACAGGAGGACCAGAAAAAAGGTGAGTTGCGCATGGTAATCACAGCACAGCTGCATTCCCTGCGGTTCCTCTTGCTGGTGGTTTTTGCTCCTTCTTCAGGACACCCCCTTGCCCAGACATCCCTGACACCCCTGCAGGCCAGCCCAGAGCAGTGACTGCCAGGCAGGAGCCTCGCAGTTGGCCATCAGAGAAGGCCCAGAGAGTACAGGCTGAGAAGTACAGTCATTGCCATTAATTCAGGCCAGACTGTGTTCTCATGGCTTTTACTTGGGTTAAGTCATTTTCACCTGTCACAACTCTAGCAGGCAGGTCACGTTACACCCAATCTACAGCTGAGGAGACTGAAGTACAGTCACTTGTCCAAGGTTGCATAGTTAATTAGTGGGGGGGCCGGGATTCAAAGCCAGGCCTATATCAATCACTGCGGTCTATTGCTGTTTTGAGAGACAGTGAATTGTCTCAGTGGCACAGCACGCCGTGCATCAGCTCCTGATACCTGCCCTCTATACACGGAGCCCACTTCAGGGCATGTGCCACTGTAGGGCACAGAAGTCTTGCAGCACACAGGGAGAACCACCAGGCAGGTGACTCGAAGCCTTTGGGTCCAGGGGGTAGAAGAACAGGTGGATTGCACCTGCTAGCCTTCGGGAGCACAGAAACCGTCTGCAGGATTAAATGGGATATCAGAATGTTCTGGAATGCAGCCAACTGAAGTCTGATCTAAGAAAACAGGATGTGGAGCAAGGGGTCGCTCCCTAACTTCAGTAGCTGGATTGCCCGTGGCTGTCTAGACTCCACCATCCACGGCAGTTGCAGTTGTGGCTGTAAGTCTCAGGCATACTGAGCTGGAGGCTGAGAACCTGGGCATGTTTGATTAGAGGCAACAGATCATCTCTGTTTCTCCTACGGAGCCTGGGAGAGGAAGTGCTGTCTGATGCAAAGCAGGGTTTTGGAACTGGTCAGATTACGTTATAAATTTGTGGCTGTTGGTCTAGTGCAGTGGTAAAGAGCGTGAGCTCAGATGGCCTGAGTTCAAATCCAACTTCCACCGCTTCCTGGCTTTGTGACCATGGGCCGGTAACCTTTGCTTCTCCAGACTTTGGTTTCCACATCTGTCAAATGGGGATAATAAAGATAACCCTTTCCATGCTGTGAAGTGAAATGAGAAAGTACACAGTTCAGTGTTTAGCACGGTGCCTGGGCTGTATTAAGTGTACGATAAATGTCAGTGCCATGTCAGTGCCTTTTCTGTTTCTTTCTTTCTTTCTTTTCTTTTCTTTCTTCTTCTTTTTTTTTTTTTTTGGATCTTAGTAGCTCTGAATTTGTTCTTGGGTAAATTACTAAACCTCAGTGTCCTCATCTGTATAATAGTAATGCTAATCCTGTCCTCAGGGGAGATTGAGAGTTGAATGAAATAACACAAATCAAAAGATCATAATAGATTCTCTATCCATTAGATCCCTTTCTCAGTTATCTGTATCTCATTCCACACGGATCCAGCAGAAGGAAGGCGGCCAGTGGCTGTAACTCCCCTGTCCACTGAGTCCTGACAGTTATTGCACAGTGATTTTGACTCAGTCCTCCTGCCACTTCTGAGCCACCTCTCTGGCCTTGGCTTTTGCAGAACAAGCTGGGATACCCACAAGGGGCTCCAGCCTTTGGACTTCCAGCCTTTCCTGCCTATAGTGATCCTATCTGTGTCTCCCATAAGCCTCTTTCTTGCAGTCTTCCACATGTCACTTTCTGGTTTAACAAATCTTATTGTCCCAGCAGCCCAATCTCATTGGACACTCGATGGCATTTCCATCACTGCCCACGCATACTTGCATCCATTCAGCCGAGGAGTTCACCTGCTCGTATCCCGCCCCCAACGCTGGACTCTTTCTGTGCCCACCACACACTCTCCCTATGCCACCAGCTCTGTGCCTCACCTTCTTAATACCCCACGACCCCAGAGCCCGGTGAGCCCAATCTCATTGGACACTCGATGGCATTTCCATCACTGCCCACGCATACTTGCATCCATCCAGCCGAGGAGTTCACCTGCTCGTATCCCGCCCCCAACGCTGGACTCTTTCTGTGCCCACCACACACCCTCCCTATGCCACCAGCTCTGTGCCTCACCTTCTTAAAACCCCACAACCCAGGGGCCCCGTGGAGCTGGAGCTCCTCCGCCTGGGCTACGCTCTCACCTCCAGGTGAGAGGCGCTGCCTCCCCTGCTGGGGCCTTGGAGTGGGGTGGGGGTGGGTTCCTTGTTGCTCAGGTGTCTTTTTCGCCCCCCCATCCCATCTTCACTGCTCACCCTAGGATGCTGGGAGATAGACTAGGTGCTCAGATGACGGTGTCGACTCGCTGCGGGGGAGTGTGGGCCTGGAAGGAGAGTCCGTTGTTGGAGTTACTCGTCAGCCACTGTCTGGGTTTGGGTGACGGGGGCTGTGTGTGTGTCGGGGTGGGGGTGGTTAATGAGTGACTCCAAGGGGATTTCCAGGCAAATTGTGGGCACTGCCTTTCTGAAAACAGCACTCTCTGCCTTTGCCGGCCCCACTCCTTCCTCCCTAGGTGACCTCAATCCGCATGCCAGGTCACCCCATAAGATGCACAGCCCCTCCTCCCACCCAAATGGCAGCGATTCCCTCCTTTGTTTATTTGCTTGCTCGCTCATTCATTCATTCATTGAACAGATATTCACTGGGCGCCCACCACTTGCTGGGACTGCTCTAGGCAGAGAACAGGAACTGAGTGAAACAGACACGATCCTGCTTTCCAGGAGCTTGCCTTCTGCTGGGGGAGGACAATGCTAAACAGGAAAAAATAGTAAATAAGTAAATGATCTAGTACGTAAGAAGGTAATAGCGTTGTGGGGAAAAAAATAGAGGTAGGAAAAGCCGCTTGAGTGTGCTGGGCAGGGAGAGAGTGGAAGGCAGGTTGCCGCGTTGAGTCGAGAAGGTGACATTTGAGCACAGACGTGAAGGGGGTGAGGGCGAGAGGCACATGCACGTTTTGGGGAAGAGCATTTTGGGCAGAGGGAGCAAATCCCCGAAGGCCCCAAGCAGGAGCCCGTGTGGGATTTGAGAACAGGAGCGAGGTATGCTTGGAGCTCGGTGAGGAGCTGAGAGCCAGAGCCTGGAGGCTTCCGAGGGAACTGGGGGCCACTGCAGGGTTTTGAGTGAAGCACGTTGTGATTTGATTTATTGTTAAAGATGCCTCTTAGCCGGGGTTGGAATAGAAGCCCAGAGGAACGTGGCGGCTGGGTGGAGGTCCAAACACTGGGGCATTGCATGTGCATGTTTCTCTCTTTTCCCATCACACATACATAACAATAGAACAGCTTTTATGGTGGTAATGAGCTGAAAAGCCACATCTCAGGGGCTGCTCCTCAACAGCTCTGACCACCTAATTTCAGACAGCTTTTTGCATTAGAGCCGTGGCTTAATATGAGGTCATCCTCCTCTCCCCCTGCCTGCAGATTCCAGGCCCAACAACAAAAAATGGAAATAGGAAAAATAAAGGGAGTGGGGAATATGGATAGGAGGTGAGACACCAAATGCCCCCGTTCTCCTGTTCCAGCTGTGTTAGGGCCATTCTCGAGGGACACCTACAGTGACATTATCACACCATGGAGCAGGTAATGCTGCTCGAGATCACCCTTTGTGGTCTCCCTGAAGCTCTTCGGGGGCTCTCCTTGTCTTGCAACCTCCTGTCTTCCTCTCATCTTCCTCCTCCCTCTGAGAAACTACAGCTCGACAACTGCAGGGACGAATGGGATTGGCCATCGTTCCTCTTTTGTCTTTCCCATCCTGCGGCCACAATGGCCATCAGGTGGGGTAGGCTAAGTGTGCTCCAGAGCTCGTATCTGCAACAGCCTGTCTTTCTTAGAATGCTTCCATGAGGACTGGTCTTGGCGGTGGTTAGCAAATATCCCGAGATTGCGCATGACCTGCAAACTGAGCCTGTAAGGGAATGAACACCTAGTCCCCTCCTTTGGAAGACTTCTCCGTTGCTCATGCATATGGCAGAAGAGCTAGTTGAGGGCCATGATAAGAACTTCTTCTACCTGATGAAGCCTTAGACATGTGTACCCGCTCTGTTGGAAATGCCTAGAGACAAGCATATGGGCATGGGAGAGTCTTCACCTGTGTATTTCTCCCCAAGTTAATGTGTTTCTGAGTGACTTTGCCAAATTCCTGGGCAATGGCTCTGCTGGGGACACTTTCCTATCCAGTCCCTTGCACTCTTCCACCTCCAGACCAATGGCCAGAAATATGGGGCAGGACAGGAGCCTGATGGCTGTGTTCCCCAAGCAGTAGTCATAAATGGCAATATTACAATATTACTGACATATTGGCTTGGCCTACCTCCTTTCAAAGGACTGTCGTATTCACTACCTTATAGCCCTAAAGGCTCCTGTGTGAGATCATCAGGAGGAAGGACTATTTTTAGAGATGAAAAATCTGACGCCCAGGGACGAGGTCCATGGCTCATGTGTGCGGTGGGTAGGGGAGAGGTGCTGCGGCTCACACGATGATTTCTGTCATAACCATAATTGAGAGTGAAAAGCCGGGACTCTGGGAGGAAGGTGCAGGTCCGGGTTCTGAGCGGTGGCAGTGGCGGTGGTGATGAGCTCACCCAGGGACGAGAGCCATCCAGAGGCCTCACAGACAGAACTTCCCCTCAGGGTCCAGTTGTGAGTCACTATGGTTCCTGTCCCCACAGTGGGCCTCATCCCCAGGCTGTTTGCTTCACCCTGGGACATCACAGTCACTGGTCAGACCTCATGACTCACCTGGTCCCTGAAGCCAGCACGGGGGTGGGGTCTCTCTCCTTCTGGCATCTAGACCCTCTGTGCTATTGACATGGCTTGGCTGGCTGCTCTCTTAGATGCGACGTGCAAGACGTGTGTCCCAGGGAAGGCCCCTCTTACTCTGCAGAGGTCGCGCAGAAGCCACGGCCACAGCAAATATATTTCCAAATGCAGTTTGGAAAGTCCGGGGCTCCGTGGAGGTGAGATAGCCGCAGCCTT